CAAGGAAAGTTCCAAAGACTGCTCCCACTGAAGATGACACAGCGTAGGGTGGAGCAGAATCAACAGGTGGTTCTTTACAAGAATCGAACCCTTCAGCAAGAATTCGATGGAGGGTATGTGAGCACGACTTCAGATCAGTTTTTCTCCAAAAACTGATATCAAGAACCCTTCTTGATCGCTCCTACAATGGAGAACGGACTGGCAATGGCGGCAGCAGGAGGAGGGCGCAAGAGCAGAAGATGGCGCAGTCTTACTGTTGTTGTCTTCTCTCTTCTTGTGATCTGAGATCTGATTGAGTTGTGTTGTGTGGAGTTTTGTCCTCCTCCTCCTTTTATAACCTTAAAGAGAGCTCCTAATCTCATTAGGAGTTTCCTAATCCAAATCCTTATTTGGATCTGGACTCTCTTTAAGAGATAAGGATAATCCCTTAATCTTATCTGCAGATCTAGATCAGCCCTCCTAATCTCATTAGGAGCTTCCTGATCCAAATCTCTATTTTGATCTGGACTCTCTGAGTGGATAGGGATAACTCCCTATCCTATCTGTTGATCTAAATCCCAGATCCGCCCCTCTTTAATTAATCTAATTAAACCAGTTCGAATTGGCTTTAGGCCCATTAAGTCCATGTGCTCACTAACCTTCCAAACTATTGCCCAGTTGGGTTTCCTTGTATGGTGTGGGACCCAAACATTGATCTACACATCAGCCACATGGGTTCAGCCTAGCCTCTGTTACAAGGCCTGGCCGAATTCACTATAATGGACAGTGAACCCCTTGGCTGAATTCATCCATAAATAATGTTGACTGATTTGTGGTTGCATTGAGTTCACTAACCATCCAATGATGGTATAATTCTCTTGCATCCATTTTTCATAAGATGGGTCATCTTTCGGAGGTGCTTTCTTGCTCTCGAAGATATACCCCCACTTGCCTCTATTGCAAACATGAATTTTTATTGACTGTGACCATGTTAGATAGTTGGTTCCATCCAGCTTGATTGTGGTCATAGCCAACAGTGAGTCAACGGGAGCTGCCGGAACCTGTTCGAAATCAGACCCACACTTATTTTCAACTCCCGATATATCCATCTTCCTCAAACAACTTCAAAAGAATTTCAAACAGCTTCAAATGACAAGCAACTGCCAGCTACGTCTCACCCGGAACCCAGGAGAAATCAGAAATTTGACGCTCCCTATTGGCTTTACAGAACACCACAAGACTTGAATCGATCTTCAAGAAAAAGTGAAAACCCCTTCAATCATTGAGCGCCAAGGTGAAGCTCCCTGTGGGGCCAACAAACAGAATTCTCCAATTGATTAGGGTTTTGGGCAAAATACACCAGGGACTGTTAGAATGATGACCAAGACAGCATCCTTTTCTCTAAAAATCCACTAACAACTAGGCTGAAAAATTTCTTCAATCACTCATTCGATTCAGCTCTCCATACACACTGTGTATGGGAAAAAAAGAGAAAAAAAGAGGAGAAAGAGCTGCTCCAATACCAAGAAGAAAAAACCGTCCTAAGGAATGAAAGGACCTTTATAGGCAACCAATGGTTCGTGGAAGGATTATGTGGAGAGCCACTAGAGCTGCTGTATTGTGGTCAGTGTGGGAGGAAAGAAACAATAGGATCTTCAAAGGTAGTTGTAGATCCAAGGAAGAGGTTGTGGAAGGAATAACTACTAAGGTTATCCATTGGTTGAAATCCTGTGATCTTTTTAAGGAGTTCTCAGTTGAAGACATTTATAGAAGTTGGGGTATTGTGGCATATACTACTACTTCCAAAGCTATGATACAAGAAGTTTGGTCCCCACTGGCACAACAAAGGGTGAAACTGAACTTCGATGGAAGCTCTATAGGCAATCCAGGCTCATCTGGTATAGGAGGTGTCTTCAGAGATAATGAAGGCAAGATAATGGCTTTGTTTTCAGGTCCAATAGGAGTTGGAGATTCCTTAAGAGAGGAAATCTTGGCACTACATCAAGGTGTAAAACTGGCCAAACARTTGGGGCTACAGTAGATTGAGATAGAGGGAGACTCCAAGTTGGTAATTGGGTGGATGCAATCAGGGCAGCTGGGAATTTGGCAATATAGACAGCTGATAAGCAAAATTCTTAGCATAACANACCCTACGGCAAGACCTAACTGTTGGGCCGAACTCTTTTATCTTCTTGGAAAGTGTTCGTTTTAAGGGTTTTCTCTC